CGCCGTCATCCGCCTCGTCGTCATCTGTATCCTCGTCATCCGCCGCATCATCACCCAACTCATATTCACCACCAGTCAGTCGTCTGATACCATCCATGTTCTCCTTCCTACGTCTGTCCCGTGCCACTGTCTTTACCTCATCTACGTCCCGAGATTGTGTTCCATTTTGCCCCCGGCTTCCTGTCTCCTTCAATGCTCCGCGTGGCCCTTGGCCATTCCTAGCATATATTTCGGTTAAATAATGGGCGGTCGACCTTCGTGGTCTCTGGACCCACGGATCAAGCGCCGGAGGGTGCTGCGGTGTCCGCACAGCCGGATACTGTGTCAAAGAAATGGGATCAATTTCTGTGATTGGCGGTACTGTCGTTGTTGCCGACTCTTCCCCAACCCCAGCCACCAACGCCACTGGTGGTGGCTCCGGTGGCGGCAAGGGCAACGGTGGAGAAGGCACATTCGATTGGGTTAGTGATCCACCACTCTTCCTCTGCACCGTGTGTTCGACTTGCTCTGGTTGTGTCGGTGGTAGAGGGAGCGGGTTCTTGCGTGGTCTTCCCCGCTTCGGGCGCCTCGCTTTTGCTGCGTCCGGCAGCATGTGAAGTGGTACATGCTGCTTGATACGTGCGCTCAGGTGTTGAAGGGTCCTACCAACGTACCGGCTATCACAATTCCGGCACTCAAATGTGATGAGTAATTATGTTTTTATTAACCTACCTTGCACATACACATAATATAAAATAAACATGCAGCTATGAAGGGCACACCTACCCAGGACATAGAGTTTGGAGTTACATGTAGTGGGTGCTGGTTGCGTGTGAGGCAATGTGGCTCAACGCAGAGCACGAGAGAGTGCGTGGCTCGACTTAGAGCACGAGAGAGAGAGAGAGATAGATAGATAGAGAGAGAGAAAGAGAGAGAGTGGGAGGGTGGCTCAGCATAGGGCACGAAAGAGTGAGTCGCTCAACATAGAGCAACATAGATCGCTTGTGTTGCTTAGCAAAGAGCAGAGAGCGATTGAACGAGGTAAACCATTGTCGTTAATAGTTTTAGTGAGGTGGCAAGAAAAGAATTCAGAAGCCAAACACTTCTGCTGAGAAAGAAGCAACGGAAAAAACTAAGTCGTTCGAGCTCTCCAAATCGGTGTGATTTACAATGTATGCTCGATCATTGAGCTGTTAATGCTGCGCAGAGCTGGGATAGAGGCACATTCCTTTGAAACTTATATCTGCTTGCTACACTGACCTGTAAGAGCCACCCTGCACCAGAGTCAGAACAGACGCATGGACCAGTGTACCTTATACTTGCATGATGCATGCAGAACGGAGACAGGCGTGGAAAGAAGTTGATGGTATTGTCTTCGGACATCCACCTGAGAGGTGTGCGACGGCCAACGGGTTGACCGACCTTCCCAGTCACTTCTTCCCGCGACACATGACTGTCCGGCTGATCGTTCATCTATGAATGGTGCTCTCGGTGCTGCTTCTTCTTTTTTAAGACACAGGACCAGGATCCTGCAAGTCAGTCGAGAGCTTTTCCGTGCCTTTCTGCTTGTTTTTATTAAAAGATTAGAATCATTATCCTATGTTGTGTGAGGATACAGCAGGATAGACCAGGGAACAAGTTGGTATCTGGCTTTTGAGGTCCAACACATGTAAACCTGAGAGGTAAAGGGCGAGCGACAGGTTGACCGGCCGTCCCAATCACTTCATCCGGAGACGACCTGGCTGATCACCACCAATCAGCACGTCCATCAGCACCAGTGATTGCGTATTAGTTGACAGGTGTAAGTGTGCAAAGTTTTCTTTCTGTATGCATGGCACAGGGTCACGTGCACGAAGATAACCAGCTTCCAACACCTTTAACTGCTGAAAGAAACGTGCCAAGCATCGGATGAAGGGGAAAGAAACAGTGACATGAGGAGATGGAGACGGATGATGATGAAACGGATGAACAGCATGGTCAGGAGAACCGCAAGGGTGCGCAGGATCCGGAAGTGGAGGAAGACAGTGATACTGACGAGGAGTAGTTCGATATCAAAAATAGATTGTAGAACAAAACATAACTGTGTTTGTAGTATTTAGTACTCCAATTATTTATTCATATCTCTAGGGCGGTCCTCACAGACCTATGGTCTCCTTACGGCGTACTCTAGCCAATCTAGAATTGCGATACGAAATTGACTTCGTGAAGCAGCAAAGCGGACTGTTACCGGAACGGAGTTCCAGCGGTCGGCGGCTAGATCAGAAAGAGAGGAATAACCAAATCGAGAGGAGGCTCGTACTGTATCCACGAAAATTAACAAATTCAAAGGACTACACTTATTCTATGTGCACGGTAAAAAAGTGTAAGTTTTCGAAAGACCTCGCCCATACTATTTTAGACATGGTCAACGTAGCTCGCTTAAGAGAGCATGTCTGAGAATACCAAAGTATGTGTGCAAGTGGATCTCTCCGATTTCGCTCAAAATTTGCAGGTAGGTTTCCTTTGGGGTGTGGATCGATTGTGCAAAGCCCTTGAAAAAGTTTCTGAAGGGAACCTTGAAATTTGCATACCCCTCAAAAATGGCCGAAATATCACATTATTTATGGGTCTAGAAACGAGTCACGCCACAGCGTATACGAACAAGCTATGAACAAAACTCCATCAAGCCAACATTGCCTCACCTTAGAAGAGTTCCTGGAGCAGTACCGCTTAGCCACGCCAGCATCCCAGAAGACGAGGTCCATCACCCCCTGACGCCACAAATGATCGTCTTGAAAATAGCCAATTAACAAGCGCTGGCAAAACAGCCAGCTACGTCCTCAATTGGCCAGAACTATACACCGGCAGATAGTAGAACACCTCTTCAAGCGCTGAGGACATGTCCCCCATCTTCCTTTTGGGGTTTTCTTGAAATAAACTTTTTTGAATTTTTCCACTCGACCATGCTGAAATACGCCCAAAATCATACCTGCGCAGGAAAGCTCGCCCTTCCGCGACGTCTCCTCAGCAATTTCTACTCCAACACTACTCCCAAAGCCGCAGAACAAAGTGTAGTGTTGACTCTGACAAGGAAAAGCAGCGGTGATCACTTGTCACTCCAAACGACAAGCTTCTCCTTGTGCCACCTATAATGTTTTGTGCAACTGTTGATGCAAAAGTGACTGAAGGCCTGAGCGCAGTTTTTGATTATTTTTGCAAGATGCACGGTGAGATCGCGTGCTCTGTGACGTAGGATGACGCTTCCTGCATCACCATACGCAGCCATCGATCGAGAATGTGCCTGGAACGCTACTCGGAACAGACCATGATGGCAGAGGTACGATGAGCTTCATTTCCTGCTTGAACTGCTGAGAACCCCAACAAACTGTCCTAGGAGTGTTGCAATCGCAGCAAGCCGTTGAAAAATGCCCCCTACAGCATGGAAAGTTATTCGTCTTTCACCCTTACCTCTTTGAATCCCGAACATAGTCCAACAGTAAAAGTCCCTTGTTTTCATGTCGATGCTCGACAAAAGCGGCTAGCTCGGTCCCTTTGTGTTGACTGGCACGCGAGCAGCACTGGCTGCACGCACTTGTCGCGTGAACTGCATGAGAGATTTCTTACGTAATAAAGAATGTGATTTCATCATCATTTCACTGGTCTTCGACCTACATGGTCAGGGAAAGTCCCGGTTCGTACGCCTACAACACGGTCAGCGTGTTCTTGAGCGCAGCAACAACACAAGTGTGATCACTTCCAGACCAACGGGCGTTCAAGGCGAGTATACAAGCGCACTTGACAAAGGTGACTCTGAAATCTCGTGAGCCGTGGGCCACGCAACTTGGCATTCTTGCGTCACAAGGCACGTGATTTCACCGTGCATCTTGCAATAAAATTCAAAAACTGCTCTCAGGCCTTCAGTCACTTTTGCATCAACAGTCACACAAAAAATTATTGGTGGCGCAAGGAGAAGCTTGTTGTTTGAAGTGACAAGTGATCACCGCTGCTTTTCCTTGTCAGAGTCAACACTACACTTTGTTCTGCGGCTTTAGGAGTAGTGTTGGAGTAGAAATTGCTGAGGAGACGTCGCGGAGGGGCGAGCTTTCCTGCGCAGGTATGACTTTGGGCGTATTTCAGCATGGTCGAGTGGAAAAATTCAAAAAAGTTTATTTCAAGAAAACCCCAAAAGGAAGATGGGGGACATGTCCTAAGCGCTAGAAGAGGTGTTCTACTATCTGCCGGTGTATAGTTCTGGCCAATTGAGGACGTAGCTGGCTGTTTTGCCAGCGCTTGTAAATTGGCTATTTTCAAGACGATCATTTGTGGCGTCAGGGGGTGATGGACCTCGTCTTCTGGGATGCTGGCGTGGCTAAGCGGTACTGCTCCAGGAACTCTTCTAAGGTGAGGCAATGTTGGCTTGATGGAGTTTTGTTCATAGCTTGTTCGTATACGCTGTGGCGTGACTCGTTTCTAGACCCATAAATAATGTGATATTTCGGCCATTTTTGAGGGGTATGCAAATTTCAAGGTTCCCTTCAGAAACTTTTTCAAGGGCTTTGCACAATCGATCCACACCCCAAAGGGAACTTACCTGCAAATTTTGAGCGAAATCGGAGAGATCCACTTGCACACATACTTTGGTATTCTCAGACATGCTCTCTTAACTGTTTTACGATCCTCTATTGCACTTCGCACTATGCACGTATTTACAGTACATTCACACTCACTTCTCACTACATATCTAACAAGAAACTTTGCGAGGTTGCACTATCCTAAGTCTGGTGTTGAATGGGGCCACTGTACTGCATGTGTAATCTGTTGTGATCCCAAAGGAGGTGTGAATGTGAAGAGGATAATTTGAGAGTGGGAGAGCCTGGTGTCGGTTTGTGGGTGTCTGTGTGTTTGTGACGGAGAAGGAGAGAGAGAGGGAGAGAATTTTGTTTAGTTTATCCGAGAGGATGCGTGCGTGACTGTCAAAGAGTTTAGTGCTGAATGAAGATGCTGGAAATAGATGTGGACTGATGTGATGTGACGTGACGAGTAAGCGCGGTGTTCAAATACATATTTTGGTAAAAGCCAGACGAAATTCATTACACAGATATTGTCCGCAAGTAAGGAGAGTTTCTTTTGGCACTTGAATATTTGACAATGTCAGGTACTTTGGCGTGTTAGGAAGGAGAAGAAATAAGGTTGTGTACGTACTTCAGTAAGTGAATGATGGCTGATTTAAACTGGACATCCGAGGGGAGTGTAGCCTCTGACACATTCTCACAATTGCCACCTTTAGTGATATGGACCAGCAGAAGGTCAGCTGTGTGTCCTCCATCGCCTAATCCACCATCTCAATGCAACCCTTATACAGCTCTTCACCACGCACACCCGATTAGTGGGAATCAAGTAGTGACCACAGAAGCCCCCTTCGGCTGTTATGCGCTGCAGCATACCTCATTCAGCCCTTGGAATACACCATTAGCTACGGGCAATGTTCTGCTGGGTCATTCACGGCTGGACGTGACATACCAGTTTAGGCATCCTCGACCTGAGTGCCAGAGGATGCAAAATACAAACTCTGGCGAGATTTCTGAATCAGCTGTCGAAAATCCATGCTCGAATGACCAAACACCGCCAATAAACATTGACCAAAGTTTGCAACACAGCGATATCCAGACTGTAAACTGTTCAGTCTCAGTTTCAGACCACTACACAGGCCACGGTCATGGAGCGTATGATTCGAAAGAAGGCAATTACTCAACCACGTCTTCCGACGTGGACCATCACAATATCGGACATGTTCAAGTATCTCCCCTATTGCCTATCGTATCTGAGGATGCTGAACACGAAGATCGTCAAACGCTCAACAATCAGTGTACATCGGAGTCGTGTTGTGAGGAAGGCAGTCAACTTCTAGTTGACTTTCCTCAAGATCACACGTCGCTCAGCAAGGACCCCGGGGTGTCACTTGATCGACAGCATGATACGTGTGATCGTGCACATTTACATTCTGGAGAAGATTTGCATAAATGTAAGCATTGCGATCAATCATTTTCTACTCAATCCCGTCTAACATCTCATGAACGATATCATGTTGTCAGTCATGGACGAGTTCACTCGGGGGAGAAACCATTTACGTGCAAGTACTGCGCAAGAGCATTCAGGGTGAAATGCAGTCTTACTGTTCATGAACGAATCCACACTGGGGAGAGGCCGTACAAGTGTGATCACTGTGACGAAGGTTTTAAAACCAGTGGAGCACTTAGAATTCACTTACGTAAACATACTGGCCAGAAGCCATTTCAGTGTAAGGTATGTAGCAAGGCATACCGACAATCATCACATCTCACAAAGCATCAACGCATCCACACTGGAGAGATGCCACACAAGTGTGAAGAATGTGGTAAGTCCTACAGGGAAACATCACTTCTCACAAGTCATCAACGCATCCACACTGGAGAGAGACCTTACAAATGTAACTTTTGTGACAAGGCATTCAGGCATAAGTCATCCCTCACAGACCATGAACGCATCCATACCGGAGAGAAACCATTCAAGTGTAAAATATGTGGAAAGTTCTTCTCTCGGAGATTCAGTCTAACAGTACATGAAAGAATCCACTCTTGAGAGAGACAGATCAGCAATTGTAACAAGTCTTTCAATGATTAAAAAAAACACACGGAAGACCGTGAAAATAAAAAAACACCCTTTAACAAAAGGCTTCTTTACATAATGATGGAACATGTTTATAATAGGTCCGTTTTGAAGTATAAGTACCCCAATATGAACTCCAGGTCACTGCTTGCATGCTGAATTCTACATTTTGTAGCCTCTCAAACATTATCATTATCATTGTTTTGGACTTGATATATTTTACAGTTTTTTGATATATCCACCATTCATAATAATAGCTCAGGTCCGCTGAACATGCGGCTAAATTTTTGATAAAATCAGTATTTATCGTGAATATTTATTCTTGTGCACGCATATCGGGTACGGATCCTTTGCATAGAAGATACGCTGTTCTGTTTTGAAGTTCGCACATGATGTTGAATAAGTGAAGTACTTTGTTCCTGTATTTACCTTTATTCCCATTTGCATCGTCGTATAGTCCTATTCTAGGCAATGTCAAAACCCGAGATAAATTACTCAATGTTCATTTGCTCGACTGAAAAACGATTTTCTAGCAGGACTCAAACCTGTGACAATCGCTTATGCCCAGCGATTCTTCACCAGTGAGCAGCCTACAACTTGTGGTCATCTAAGCAGCGACCGTTCAACATTTCGATCAGACTGAGAAACTCTCGCGTCCTGTGAATTCACACAAGCTGGTGTGATGCAAGAAACGTACATGACGTTTAGTGTTTTAATTGTGATGCGTTTACATACTGCAAAACTCGCGGTTTCAGTTGCCTGGTGTCATCCTTTATCATTTAGCTCCACAAAAATTGAAGAGGTTGCAAGAGTATCAAATCACTGCGTAGAACTGGGCTTTGAGTAATAGAATCTGATTATGTAACATATAGGCGCCACTACCTATATCATGACCAGAGACGGTATAAATCATGCATCTATTCATAGTAGTCACTTTGCTGTTAGATTCTAACAACAAACTGCCTCAGCTCCCATCTCCTCTTGTCAATTGTTGCCACGCCGGCCTGAAGGTGATGTCTCAGCTTTGGTGATGTCAAATCAAGGGTTAACCCTAGAACTACTGGCGGCATCGTATGATGCGTTTGCGAATTTCAAAATGGGATTGCTGTTATATGGCGGCTTAGAATCTCCCCAAATTTTGTGACTTTTATTTATTTTGTATCTTGTTAATGGCAGTGGGTTGTGTTTTCAAAAATTTAGTGCAGTTCTGAAATGCCAGGGGTGCTACCTAGAACTACCGCGGTGCATCATATGACTCCCCATAAAAAGGCATCAATAAAAGGGCGAATTTGGCTTAGAACCACACGTGAATAACGTGAAGAGGAAAACATTGGGGAGAAAAGAGTTTGGGGACAATGAAGGTGATGATTTTGTACATGTGGACATGCTAATATCTGCATTTCACGCGTCGTTCTTTATTTATTTATTTCTGCACCTCGTGGCATGTCAAGACAGCCAATTGAATTGAGGAGAGGGTGAGACCAACCACGGAAGAAGAAAAAAAAATGAAGAGCACGTACACAAAGTGGGAAGGGATTAGCAACTTAAAAAGCAATGGGATGCTCAGCGAGCTATGCAGCGGAAGTGGTGACTGTGACTTTGTTTACTGGGAGATACTGAAGTGCTGCCTGACGAGGGTAGGGAATTTGGGCATATCTGGAGCTTGTCTAACACTGGGAGGCAGTTGGAGCCACGTGGAGTAGGAGGAAAGGAAAGGGTCATTTACGAATTATGGTCAATATCGTAATCCTGAATCCTGCCGAAACAGACACATTAAATATTGTTTGTCCTAAGTTTGGGAAGTGATTCACTATGTCATCTGCAGGATAGAACGATAGGAAGTGCCAGGGCAGTTATAATATTCTAGGAACGTCCTTTGAGTTTACGTTGGTCTGGCGGAAGACACGTTCAGTAGGCGCAGTGTCGCTGCCAATAAAGCATTTCATTTGATTTTCATTTGATTTTGAAAGTTTGAGGATGATTGCAAGGTGAGTGCTTGGAGCATTGTGCGCAAGCAATGTGAAGTGACCGAACGCAGAGACACATAGTTATAATGCTCCAGAAGAAGATGAGTGAATACTAATTTCTCCGGGTTCTCGATCAGTGTAATACGGGACCAGAGTCGAGGGAGCAACCGGATAATGGTGGTGATAAAGCTATGGAGCCATACACATAACAGAATATCAATCTCCAAAACTCGGGCAGGACCTCCTTCATGAAACTGGGTTTTCTGGCAAAGTTGGTAGATAGTGAAAACTGTGTTGCACCAAGCAAGCGTGAACGCGCGCAACCAGTTGTTGCTTCCGAAGTTTGCGGACTTTCCTGTATATGGAGATGAAAAGGACAAGAAGGAGCAAACCAAAAGTGGATGAAGTGTGAGAAAATAACAACCCGCAAAAATTCTGCAAATACTTTTGCCTTACTTGTATTCAAAACTGATTGAAACGTTTTGCAATGCAATGATGTAGCCAATCAAAGGAAAAAAACATTTCCATCAGTTCACATGTACGATGAGCTAGGCAAGAAGCATAGCGTAGGGCGCTAAACTTCCAAGCTCTCTCGTTAACTCAGTATTCGAGATAAGGATGACAAAAAGTAGAATCTGCTGAAGCGTCATGTTTCGAAGGTTTTGTAACGAAAAAATTCTAGAGAAAGATGTGAAGGACAAAGATAGCTGTGGTGGAAATGTAATGTGATGAACAATATTAGGAATGATAAAAAATATAAAGATGCATCGATCTAGCTTTCGCACAACGCTTATCACGAATCATCGTTGTACTAATTAACACATTGCAACACAGACTGCTATGAAGGACCAATATGGATAAATAACACTTAGGCACACACACCCATACCAACGCTCGATCCCTCGCTCAACTAAATGCGAGAATCTCATCAGTAAATGCCGTTTCCCTCACCGTCCTAATCATTGGTGAACACTTCCCGTGTTGTCGTCACGCTGAGTCTCCTACTTCGTCTTTTTTTCCCGAAATTCTTTCTCTGTGACCTTTAATGACAGACTCGACAGGTTGATTATGAATTGGCCTCCGCACTGGAAGGATTCATAGCCTTATTTCTTCATACAGAAATCTTATTGGAATAGCGCTCCACCAGATTCCGGCGTTGCTTGGTGTCGCACTCCGATACGACCTGACAAAAAGGGGTGTAATCCAATGTGCACAATGTCATTCGTATCCTGGAACTCGTCTGGCTATACTCTCTTCTCAGCCGATCATGCTCTATCCTACACTTGGCGATCTCATCACAGACAAAGGCCTTCTGCACTCTTACCGACTGGCGTACATTCACGCGTCTAACTCTGTACTGTATACCCCTTGATGCATCACCAGTTTAAAAATAAATCCCCAGAACCTAGTTCATAAATTTCGGAGACATTATGGATGACGATGGTGAAGAATAACTTGAGATGTGATTTTTCCCTGTTACTCAAAAAACTTCACTTCTTCTATGTGCACAGCATAACAGTGCAAGGTTTCGAAACACCTCACCCATAATATTTTACCTAGCGTCAACATAACTCGATTTACTGGTTTATGAGCCACTATCGCACTTGGCACTATGTACACATCCACAGTATATTCAGTTCTAAATTCATATCTAACATGAAACTGTCCAAAGTTGCACTATCCCTAGTCTGGTGTTGAAGTGTCATACTGAAGTGCATATCAAATCTGGTGTGTTCCCAAAGCAGGTGTGAAGGTGAAGGGGGAAATGTAGCGAGTGAACCTGTGGTGTAAGTGTGCGTGTGTGTGTGAGAGAGAAAGAGAGTTCGTTTTTGTACCTGTGTGCATGTGCGCATGATTATCAAAATTAATATTAGAGTGCGGAATGTAGAGTTGTGGAAATAAATATCGACTGCTGTGATGTGACGTGATGAGTGAGCACCGAGTTTGCATACGTATATATTCGTTAAAAACTGGATAAAACTAATTTTAAAGCTATTGTCTTCAAGTAAGGAGAGTTCGTTTTGGCATTTGGATATTTGATATTGGCAGATACTTTGCCGTTTTTAGGAAGGAAAACCAATCAGGTTGCACGAATTGTATAAGAACTTCAGTAAGTGAATCATGGCTGATTTAAACTGGACATCCAAGGGGAGTGTAGCCTCTGACACATTCTCACCATTGCCACCTTTGGTGATATGGACCAGCAAAAGGTCAGTTGTGTGTCCTCCACCGCAAAATCCACCATCTTATTCTACGCCCTGTACAGCATTTCACAACGCATACGCCGTAGGTGGAAATCAAGTAGCGACATCTGAAGCCTCCTTTGCCCATTCTGCAAATCAGTATACCTCATTCAGTCCTTGGAACATACCATCAGTTACCACCCATTTACAGCTAGATCATCCACCGCTGAACCTAACAGACCGCGTCAGGGACTGTCGCCCAGAGTGCCAGAGGAAGAAAGATACAAACCCTACTGGGCTTCCAGCAACAGCTGTCGAAAATACATGCTCGATTCTCATGACATCGGCAAAGGACATTGACCCTAGATCGCAAAATAGCGGTAACCAAGCTGTTAACTATTCTATCTCAGTTTCAGATCATTGCAGAGGACACGGGCAAGAAGATTATGACTCGGAATGTGGCGAAGACTCCAACACGTGTCCCGAATTTGACCTTCACAGTATTGGACATGTTTTAGTATCCCCCCTAGGGCCAAGCGTATCTGAGGATGACAAACATCACAGTAGTCAAACGCTTCACAATCAGCATACCTCCGAGACGTGTTCTGAGAAAGATAGTCAACTCCTAGATGACTTTCCTCCCCATCATTCGTCTCCACAATCAGCATACCTCCGAGACGTGTTCTGAGAAAGATAGTCAACTCCTAGATGACTTTCCTCCCCATCATTCGTCTCCACAATCAGCATACCTCCGAGACGTGTTCTGAGAAAGATAGTCAACTCCTAGATGACTTTCCTCCCCATCATTCGTCTCCACAATCAGCATACCTCCGAGACGTGTTCTGAGAAAGATAGTCAACTCCTAGATGACTTTCCTCCACAATCATTTGTCGCTAAGTAGGGAAACTGGGGTGTCATTTGATCGCCAGCATGATGCGTGTGATCGTGCTCATTCACATTCTGGAGAAGAGCTTCATAAATGTAAGCAATGCGATAAATCATTTTCTACTCAATCCCGTCTAACATCTCTTGAACGTACACACACAGGGGAGAAACCGTTCAGGTGTGAAGTGTGCGATAAAACCTTCAATAGAAGATATCATCTGGTCTCTCATGGACGAATTTACTCAGGAGAGAAACGAGTAACGTGCAAGTACTGCCCTAAATCATTCAGGGTGAAATCCCACCTCACTGTTCATGAACGTATCCATAACGAGGAGAAGTCGTTTAAGTGTGATCATTGTGACCAAGGCTTTTCCCATATTTCCAACCTTAGAGTTCATAAACGTACACATACTGGAGAGAAGCCATTCAAGTGTAACCTATGTGGCAAGTCATACAGACAAAAG